TGAAATCACTCTTGCCACAATGAATTTTCCAGAGAGAACTAGCAGCTCAACTTAGGGAGCATGCGAGTATTGTTATTTCTCATCTTCATCTTTCCTTGAAGGAGGGGCTGGCAAACTTTTTCTGTAAAAGGGCCCATAGCAAATATTTTAGGCCTTGTAGGGTGGACGATCTCTGTTGCAATTAAGCCCTGCCCATGGCAGCATACAGCAGCTAGAGGTAATGGGCTTTTGCAAACAAATGAGCAAGCACAGAAATCAGCATGGCTATCCTTCAGCAAAACGTACACAAAGAATGGTGGCCTGGATTTGGCAGATAGGACGTAGTGTACTGGCCTCTGGTCTAAGCAAACCAAGCCTACCTCTGTTATTTCACCGTGGAGGGAAGCTGCCTCTCTTTCTCTTCTCATCTGTACTTGGCAGCAGACCAGGTGGGCTCCTCCACGCATGCAGAAAGGCCCTGTCTATTCCTCTGCTAGCTTCTGAGCTTCTTGAGATCAGGACCATGCCTTATTTGACTTTGAACTCCTGGACTACACATGGAGCTTGATAAAAAATGCAAACAAAACCCAGTTTTATACTGGAAGAGCTTAGAGGCTAGTGACAAAAACACACAAATGAGCTCTATGTTCTCAAAACAGATTAACTAAATGACAGGAAGAAGGAAGGGAGGGAGGAATCAGGAGAACAAGGGTCCTACAGATTCAATGTCAACCTTGGAGAAAATTAAGGAAACAAGAAAAAATTAAGTACTTAATTAATCCTGATACCCTAAAGCACTAAAAACATACAAATAAATAAATAAAGCCAATGTCCTGGGAAAGTTTAGCAGTTTCTTAAAAGTTTAACATAAACATACCGTATAACCCAGCAATTTCATTCCTGGGCATCTACCTCAGAGAAATGACGTAGATTAGTCCACAGAAAGACATACATGAACGTCCAAAGCAGCATTATTCAGATAGCCAAGAATTGGGAACAACCCCAGTGCCTACCAACTGGTGAACAGTTAAACAACTGTGGTGCACATCCACTCAATGGAATACCATCCCACCATCCCACTGTAACGAGAACTGCTGGTCAGTGTTGTAGCATGAATGACCCTGAAAACATGCAAGTGAAAGCACCTGGACTCAAAAGACTACATATAACCTGAGTCCATTTACAGGAAATGTCCAAGAACAGCAAATTTATAGGGACAGAAAGCAGATCAGCAGTTGCCTAGGCTGGGATGAGAACAGGGATTAACTGCAAATGGACACCAGGGAACTTTGTTGGATGACAAAAACGTTCTGTAATAGAAGTATGGTGATGGTTGCACAACTCACCACTAAAATCACTGGCTTGCAGACTCTTGATAGTACACTTTCAATTCTATAGTGTATAGATTATCTCTCAGGAAAGCCATGACAAATAACAAAGCTGGTGCCACACTACCCTTCTACCCGTGGCTGAGAGGTGATGTCTGAGGGAAGATGGGGTGGTATCCCCTAGCAAACTGCAGGTGGTGTTAAAAGTGTCTGCTGTGACTTTTCCTGTATTCACTTTTCCACCTCATCCGGCTCTCAGATCTAATAACAGCAGCTGACTGTTACTGGCTGCTACAATCCTAAGAGGATAGTACTAATATCATCCCATTGTCCAGATAAGAAAACAGGACATAAAAGGAAATACCTTATTTGAGGGCCCACAGCTGCCGAGTGGCAGAGCCAGGACTGGAACCCCATTATGCCTGGTTCTTGAACCTGTGCTCTTTGGCCTTAAGGAGAAAAGCATGGTGCCACTGGGACAAGTGGAGTGGGAGTGCTGAGCTTCCCTATCTTGCTGCAGCAAACGCTATCTGAAGGGCAGGTCGCCAGCCCCAGTGCGCCCAGAAGACCACTAAGCAGAAAGGTCTTGATTTACGTAAGTAGCACATTCTGGTGGCATTGGTGGCACTAGTTTTCATCTGGAGCACGTAGTTACAGAAGCCTGTCTGGCATGTCCTGGGGTTCAGCAAAGATGACCAACAGTCAGGGGTAGAGATGACTTCCATAGGCCACAGGTCTGCCCAGATGAGTTTCTTGCTGGAGTCTTTCACTGGGAACTGCCAGTTTCCAGGGAGCATTCCACGCGGGGGCCTATGATGCCACCCTGCCTGCCCAGTGCACTGGGTACACCCCTGCTGGGAGGGGCTGGCAGCAGCCACCTGACCTTTGGTCCGTGGCAGACAGATCTCATTGCTCCCCTCTCCCTCAATGTAGCACTATGATCTCTTCTTCCAGGCCGAGGCACGAAGAGGCTGTGCAGGAGTTTGAGGGAAGTTTTCCAAAGGCTGGCTCATCATAGGAGGGAGGGGACCCACGTGCCCAGAGGCTTTTCTATGAGAAGCCGGGCCTTGGGGATGAGGCAGAGCATCTCCTTCCCTCTGTGCCTCCTGCCCCCAGGCACCCTAACCTCCTGCTACTCCTCCAATAGGTCAGGCATGGGCCTGGCTCCTTCCAAGCACTGTTCTAGCACTGAGAACTATTCCCTGGACACCAGTCTTGCTCCTTTCTTCACCTTCTCCAGGTCTTTGTTCAGATGTCACCCTCTCAGGGAGCTGCCCCTAACCACCCTACTTAAAATTGCAGCCCCCCCATCCCAGCACTCCCTTCCTTGTGCCTGCTTTATTTTTTTCTCATAGCATCTATTACCGCCTGAAATATCATTCCCCCCTCCAGAAGGTAAGTTCTACCAAGGAAGGGAGTTTTGCTAAGACCCAACCTGGTGCGTAGCCTGTGGCAATCAATCATATTATGAAGGAATGGACCGCCCCAGGAGAGCCCAGCCTATGGACAGCATCTCTGCAGTAACTAACACCCAGCACCAAGACACCAGGAGACGAGCTGATTCTACCCCAGCCTGCACAGAGGTGACGTGAGCTAATCTGGGAGAAACATAAGGAACCAGTCAGCAAGCCACGTGCAGGCAGCACCACCAAGGCTCCTCCACGCCTCTACAGAAAACCGTATTGCTGGTGCCTTTGAATGCTGCTGACTCTGCCATGGCCTCTTGGGCCATCTTCTTGCGAGGCTCTCTGAAGCCTGGGGTATATGACACCACTGGTTGTAACATAAGGAAGATATGTGAGAAGTCAGATAAACCCCAGGAGGGTGTAGACACTGGAACTACATGTCATTCCACAGGGACTCTGAAGATGTGACATTCAAATGCTAGCTAAAAGGAGGAAGCCCAGCACCAGCATGGCCAGGGCACAGGACAGATGAAAGAAGACTTGGTCACACATGGCCTGAACCTAAGTTGTCTGAGCCTGGCTCATTCAACTTAAAGCTATTCCTTACCCAAGTCCATGGGCTTCATCCCTACCTTCCTGGAGCCAGGACTCTTGAGCTCAGCCATTGGTGACAGGCTTCCCAATGCAGGTCTGACTGAAGCCCCTTGCTCTGTAGCCACTCCAAGGACAAAAATGGGAGCTGAGGGATAGTGGCAGTGAACTTCTTTCTCCCAGTGAAGTTCTAATTCTGCCCGCTCTAAGCCAGATTACTTTCCCCAGCTGAAGTCAGCAGAAGGGAAACAAAAACACAGGTGTTAAAAGCATAGTAGAGTAAGACAACTTGGTTTGGAATCTCAGCTTTGCCACTGAGAGGCTTAATAATCTTGGCCAATCTCTTAATCTGAGCCTCAGTTTCTTAATCTGTAAAATGGGAGAACCATGGCATCTGCTTCCCTGGGAGGCTATGAGGATTAAGCTGGTGGATTCCTATGTGCAGAGCCCAGCACCTGGAGTGCAGTGAGAGTTCAACAAACGTTAGATCTTGTTACTGCTATTGTTAGAAAATAAAGGGAGGATGGAAGCCAGTCCCCAGCCACTTGCTCAGGCCAACTGAAGACCTCCGAGGTTATCAGAGTCCTGAGGCAGTTGAATTTGCCAGTAATTAAGGGACTAGATAGACAGCCTTTTCCCCATGGGTTTAAGAATGATTTTTCTCAAGCAAAATCAGCCAGGATGGAAACTTTTCCGTGGCCATGGGAATTATTCCAAAGAGGGGCTGTCTGGGCTATAAGTGTGACTCTGGGAAAGAAGGAAACAGGACCCGAAAGCCACTAAATCCCTGAGTTTATAATTAACAGACAAGCACTTGCTCTGCCTGTGCTGGAGCCACTCGCCTCGCCAGGGAAGGGCATGGTAGTCATACAAAAATAACCCCCCAGTGGGTTTTTGATGTGTTGAGCCTCTTTGTTTTTCTGAATTTTAATGAAGGGCTTTCCAGGCAGGATAACAGAAGCACTGAGGAGTGGGCCCTAGCTGCTGCCGGCCTGCACGGGTCTGACACAAAACAGCATCTGAGGGAGGCAGGCACAGAGAGGTCTCAGTCCTCAGATATGTCTTGGGGAGAAAGAGAAAAACAAAAACAAAAGAAGTCTCTGTTTAGGAAAAAGGTAGGGCTCTGCTCCCAAACTCAGCACATGAAGGAAAGAGGCGCTAGTGGTACTTAAGGGGGTTGTCTAAAAGTAGAGGAGAGGAAGGCCCAGGCTCCCTCAGAGAGTTTCTGTGGCATTCTCAGGGCTGCTAGGCTGGCCCTGGCCCATGAGAACCAGAAACAAGGTTCCAGGAATGTTTCTGCTGGCAGCTTTTGGAGCCTAAGGCCTGGGCTGGAGGGAGAGGAGGAAAAGGAGGGCTGTCCCAACTGCCACCAGAGCCTGATGTGAGTGCAGAGGGGATGGCCTTCTCCAGCATCCTGCTCCCTCAGTGACAGCTGCCTCAAAGCACGTGAGGTAGGTGGCAGTGCCGCTTCACACCAGGCTCTGTCCCCCAACATCAGTGGGCAGCTTTTTGTGACCTCCCAGGAAGCGAGCAGCTTCCAGTGGGAGCACCCGTTCCTCCTCCCGAGTCTAACTTGCCCTCACGCTCTTCAGCAATGTGGAATGTTCAGAGTTCTCATCAGATTGTTTAAAAGTTGCCCTCCTTCACTTGTGCTGAATCTTTTCAAGAAGAGCTGGAAATAAATGGAAGAGATGGCCACGAATAAAGCAATTTATTTCCATCGAATGATCCAATGTGGTCTGTAATATTTTACTATAAAATACTCCCTATAAAAACCCTAAGCTGCTTGCAAGTGTCTTTTGTTTTAGGCTTGTTGCAGAGTGGAGGTTATAGGTCAGGTGCTGCTGGACTGGCCCGCAGGGTCCTTGTTCTCTGTCTGCAGCAGGTCCCACTCGGCCAGGAGCTCCGAGGACACCTCAGTGTATAGGTGGTCCCAGTCCCAGCTGACGTCATCCTACCAAATGGGGCAGGGCTAGGTAAGATAACAGCCTTTCCCCTGGAAGACAGCTAACTTCTCCCACCTATCCAGGCCAGCCTGGCAGCCAGCTAGTGACAGGAATGACAAGCTGCTACGGTACCTCTCGAACTTCGGGCTCTGGTGCAAGGACTTTAGTAAGGAGCTTCAGGTCGATCTCGCCATCCTGTGAATGCAAAAAGAGCCAGGCCAGGCACCTCAAGGGCTTTTTGCAACTATCTCTTGCAAGGTGAGGAGGATTAGTATGTATGTGTTAGAACTCCCCAAGATAAGATCTCCAGAAATGCCTTAATAAAAGAACAGAAACATGAGTGCAGCACATGGCCACGGAGGACAACGGAAGGCAGCAACTCCCTCCATGCTGGGCACGCTGCGGGGGTAAGGGCCACAGCTGACAGCAGCACATCTGCAGGGACCCAGGGCAGCAGGGTACCCTTGGGTGCCAACTGGGCAGCCACAGAAGCAAGCAGCAGCCTGGCAATGGGAAACACTGGAATATGCTGGGTCCAGAGATGCTGTGAGATGCCTGGGGATAATCCCTCCAGCAGAGGTTTTGTTGCAGCCTCAGACCCGTGGAGGAGCTGCTATATGGCTTTGGGGGAGCTGAGCAATCATTCTAGATGCTGCCTGGAGCCTGCCACCCTGTGCAGAAGCTGTCCACTCACCAGCGTCTGGAAGGCTGAGTACTTCATGAGGTCATTGTCCAGGTCACGGTAGGTCATCACCCGGTTTACCTGGATGCTGCAGGAAGGGAGACTGTAAGACCCACAGACAGGCCCAGTTCCAGGAGTGCTGCTGGGCACATCCCCAGAGCCCTGTGTGCAGCTGGGGATGACCAAGATGGGAACAAACTGTCCTAACAAAATGGGATCCCTGGGGTGGAGCCCATCACCAGAAAGATCTGGATCTACAGAGGATCTATCAGCAAAGGTTCACTGTGGATGTTATTTGGAGTATATTAATTTATATATTCTTTGCCTCTCTACCAAATTTATACCTAATTTAACCTACCTGGGAGGGGCTGCCACCTGCAAAACAAAGTCTTCTTCCTGTACTTCTTCCAGATCCGGAATAATAGGAATATCTGCAATGAGAAGTGGAGGCAAATTGTTCACAGCACAAACAGGGATCTCCTGGCTTCTCCATCTTGTACTCACCTTCAACATGCCAGCCATGGGGCTGGGAGCCAAGGCAGAACGGACAGTCAGACATCCTGTCTGGCCTCCAGGGCTCCCAGTCTAGGGCCATGGGCTAATTCGGGTGCATATTAGCATCAGAGGTGGAGTTTTAACAATTTCTGAATCCCAGGCCTTACCCTAGAACCCCCTGAAGTAGATAGAACCTTCTAGGTGGGGCTCAGACATCTGTATTTTTCCCCAAGATTTCTTTGGTGATTCTGACACGTGCAGAGTCACCGGAGTATATTTCCAAGGAGAATATAAAAAAATGAGAACAGACTCCCGAACAGCACTGGAGGAAGGGCTCATGAGACGGAAGAAAGGGAAGTGACGAGGGGCCACACATGCCCAGAGACAGAGGAACCCAGAACATGTGGTGTTTCCCAAAGTGAGGTGACTGTGAGTGCCACCTCCTCATGACCTTGATCTCTATGCATTAGCTCCACAGTGCAATGACAGGGCCCCTAACCTGCGTCTTCAGGGCATTTCCCACTAATGATATAACCTGATCGTCAACACTAAGAGGAATAAGGGTCTCTATTTGCCAGGTCTAATATAACAAATGATGCTGATCCTAACACACTTTTCTTGGAGTCTCACAGAGATTTTCCTTCTCTAAACTCTTTAGACACAATTATAGGAGCCACAAGGCCATCTCTTTCATCAGTTTAACAAAGTCATGAACACAGAGAAACTGAGAGCCAGCACGTCACTCAGCTGTAGCAAATTGCTTAAGTTACCAAAAGTTGTTCATCTTTTCATGTGGACAACCTAACAATCTAAAGAAACATTTCCTTCTCCAAGTGAGTATCACTGACTGGTTGAGGGGTTTTGTTTTGACCTATCAGAGCATGAATGAATACATGAATGAATGAGGGGAAGGGAGATGGGGGGAGGCCAGGTGGGGTGATAGTCTTAGAATTCTCAAACCAATTGCTAACATGGAGAGAAGGAAAAATCTCAGAGCAGAGAGACTAAGAAACACTACATTTCTGCTGCCATGGATTGAATTTAAAAAATTTTTTTTCTTTTTTTTGAGACAGAGTCTCATTTTGTCATCCTCAGTAGAGTGCCATGGTGTCACAGCTCACAGCAACCTCACACTCTTGGGCTTAAGAGATTCTCTTGCCTCAGCCTTCCAAGTAGCTGGGACTACAGGTGCCCGCCACAGTGCCGGCTATTTTTAGAGATGAGGTCTCACGCTGGCCCAGGCTGGCCTCGAACTCATTAGCTCAGGCAATCCACCTGCCTCAGCCTCCCTGAATGTTAGGATTTGAATTCAATTTTATATTTAAAAGAGGCACCAAATTATTCCAAGAACTTGCCACTTTCAGCCTATTCATTATTTAGACTTTGCGATTGCTCCAGTCAAGCTAAGCCAGAGTATGTGTCAGTTCCAAACCTGGTGTCTTTATTATTACTCCTGGCTGTGGAGGAACAGATGCTATACCTGGAAAAAGAGAGTGTGCAAGGGAGAGAGAGACACATAGAAAATTAAATGGAAAGAGCTAGAGAAAGAAAGTGATAAAAAGAGTGAAAAGGAAAAAAAAAATAAAAAGAAATTGCTGATAGGGAAAATAAAGAAGAGACACATAAGCCACCCCCAAAATAACAAGCCACATTCACAAGTCCTATATCTAGAAAGAGCTGTTCAAAGCTTAGATCCTATCTCTCTATCCTGTTAGAGGATTAGAGATGGAATTCTCTAAGATTCTATTTCTTATGCTAATGGAAATTTAGTTTTCTTTTTCCCTCTCGCTCTGAGTCATTAACACAGCCCACTGTGTGTGCTGCTGACAGTGCCGTTGTCCAGGCTGGTGGGACCACACAGGCCCTGCAGAGGGGCAGGGAGGAAGCTGGCTGTGCCATGCGCCATCAACAGTGTGATAGTTTTGGAGTGAGCCAGTTAGCTGCTCCTGGCTCTCCTCGAGTGTGCAGTACAGCCTGAGATGAATATTCAGAAGTTGGTAAGAAAATGCCCCATGCTGAGTTTAGGGCTCAGGACAGGGTCTTCCCAAACTCCCCTTTCCCTCCACAACTTTAGCAGTTGGGTCCTGTCAACCCTGCCCAGCTTCTTGGAGCTCTGAGGAATTACACTTCTGCCCAATGTCTACTCTCACTCCCCACGCGCTTCTTTCTTCATCCCCACCCCCCTCCTCCAAATGTGCACAAAGAGTGTGGGACTGGCCCATCTGTGACAGATCAGAGGTCAGCTCGGGCCTTGGCAAAGGGGCCGCACAGAGTGGCGCTGATGGGGCTGGCCACACAGTGGGATTTCTCTCTAATTGGAAGCCTGGTGCCCAGCAGAACCCGGTGAACTGCCTGAGTGGGACAGAGCCAGCGATGACAGCCAGGCCAAGGCAAGCTGGAACATTCCGGTGCAGTGACAGCTTGAGCCATAGCAACAGAGGCAGGCCATCCAACTCCCCATCCCCAGTGGAACAGGTGGCCATGGAACAGGCTTTGGGCAAACTTCAAAGAACTTCACAATTTAACAATTTCTGATTTATAATCACAGACAAGTACTTATGTGTACATAATACATTCTAGGGAATAATTTTTTTTCTCTCTTGCTCCTTCCTCCCTCCCTGTCCTGTCTTTCTCATATCACCACGAGCCAACATGGAAAAAAGAAAACGGACTTGAGAAATCTATCTCCTCACAAAATTACCTATAAGGAATGATACCTATAAGGTCCCAGGCAGAGACAGGGACCTAACCTGCGTGTGGAGACTGCTGACCAGTCCGCCTCAGCCTGACATGCACAGCACATGATTTTAACAGAGAACAAGAGGAAGACAAGACTCAGTGCTGGCATTATTAGAAAGCTATTTTAAAAAACCCAAGAATTACATTTACTTTAGTCTTCTTTTCTCCTCTCCTGCTAATATGAAGAAGAACATTAACAACAGCCACGAGGTTAGGAAAGTGTAGACCGTATAGAACTCCTCCAAAACAGTTCTGGAGGCAGGACGGTCAGTTCCAAATCCTGGCCCCAGCATGTCCTAGTTGTGCCCACCTCATATGGTTGTTTTGGTATTAAATGCAATAATAAACGCATATATTTTTTGAGATACAGTCTTCCCCTATTGTGCCAAGTAGACTGCAGTGGCGTCATCATAGCTCACAGCAGGCTCAAACTCTTGGGCCTAAGTGATCCTCTTGCCTCAGTCTCCTGAGTAGCTGGAACTATCGGTGCCCTGCATCATGCCTGGGTAATTTTTCTGTGTTTAGTAAAGATGGGGTCTTGCTGTTGCTCAAGCCAGTCTCAAGTTTCCAAGCTCAAGTGATCCTCATTGCTTTGGCATCCCAAAGTGCTAGGGTTATAGGCATGAATCGCTTGGCCTAAAAGCAATAATCTTTATAAAATAAGTAATAAGCATACTATGCTCAGTACATAATAAATATTCAATAGCTATTCTTACTGATGTAAACTGATTACAATATTGTGGATATAGAAAAAGTATATGGCTCCATCTTCATTTTCTTATTTACTCCTGCCTGGTGTTGACCATTTTCCAGAAGAGAATGCGGAGGCTGAGCAAGATTAAGCAGCCTGCATGAGGGGAAAGCAGGAATAACCAAGCCCAGCTTCCCACTCTAATTCTGCTGCATTGCCTAGGCTGTTCCATACCCCTCCCCCTCAGCCCCAGGGTTTTCTTAGCCCATGTAGAATACCTTCAAAGATGCCTCCTCCTATAGTGGAGGGGTGAGACAACTGCCTGTAGTTGGGATATCTTTTACTTTGCCTGAGACTTTGTCCTTTGTTCTGGGGTATTTCTCTAAGTAAGCTAAGTCCTCTCCCTCACCCTCACCACTGGAGAGCCCAGAGACTCTACCGCCCACCCCTGTGTCTTATGAAGCACCACAAGGAGAAAGAGGTGGCTGGGCACCTCGAGCAGCCGCAGATGAAAGGTGAGGTAAGAGAGCTGCGACATCCCCAGTGTCATAGGGGGAGCTGGTGACCTCATCTCTTGTCTCGGTTCCCCGGTAGGCAGGGCCATTCTTGCTCACAGCATCCACAACTCTCTGTCCCAAACCTGACCACTTATCTAAGAGGACCCCTAGTACTGTGCACTTGCCCCTGCCTCTGCGTTAGCTATCTCACGAGCGGTTCAACTGTTCCTCTGCACCCGTGGTGCCCACTAGCCACACTGTGGGGAGACTGCATTTGTCCATTTGTTCATTCACTCAGAGAATAGTGGCTGAACACACCCCATGTAAAAGGGGCTGGGCTAGGCAGAGTCAGTAGCAATAGCAAACAGACACAGCCCTTGTTGTCATGGAGCACCAGGCTGGTGGAGGCTAATAAACACAAATAAATGCACTGCTATCAATTAAAATACACACTAGGAAGGAAACTAACTGGAATCCATGACAGACAATAACAGGGAGACCTAATTGTTTTATCTTTCTAAAATAAAAGTAGCATTATAGGTGGTAATAAATTCAAATGCTATAGAGAAGTTTAAAATAAAAAGTTTTCCTTCCTGCTATGAGACCCAGTCATCTCCCTAGAGGGAATGACTGTTAACAATTTCTTATATATGTTGACTAAAAACAATATACGCATACCATAGCACACATGTCCTTCTAAAAAATGTCTGCAAATGGAATCATGCTACACATATGTTGTTATACAACTTGCTTTTATCTTTCCTTATCAAAACATGTCACTTATTCTTTTAAATGACCTTCTGGTATTCTATTGAACAGATGCTCCATAATGTATTTAATCCAGGCCAGAGGAGATTTAATTTTGAGAGGTGGGGTGAGGAGCTAGGGAAGGTCTTTCTGAAGTTCACATAGTGCCGCTGAAGCTAAAGCAGCAGGACTTGGCAGAGTAGAGAACAGCATGGGCTGGAAAGCTGGAAAGCTGGAAAGCTGAAGGCAGGACAGTGTGGTT